TGCCAATATGTACAAAGGAATAAAAAAATCATTGTTTAGCTCTTGAAATCGTAAATTTTATTCTATACAAAATTATTTGCCAATAGGCCAAAAAAACTGAAATGGCAAAAAAAAAAAATCATGTGGTATAGGCTATATCTCATGAAATTATAAAATTTTTGCCAAATTATTTGCTAATGGGTAAAAATGCTAAAAATGACCAAAAATCATGGGTTATAACTTATAAAATCAAGAATTTTGTCCTATGCAAAATTATTTGCTAATGGGTCATGATAAATAAAGAAGGTCAAACATCATTGGTTATATCTCACAAAAACTTGAGTTTTGGACTCCATAAAAATATGTGGTAATGGGTAGAAATAACTTAAAATGACCACAAATCGTGGGTTATAGCTCATAAGATCCTGAATTTTAGAGTCCGTGAAATTATTTGCCAATGCATAGACACGACTAGAAATGGCCAAATTTTGTAGGTTATAGCACATGAAATCATGAAGTTTGGACTCTTCGAAATTATTTTTCAATGGATAAAAACAACTAAAAATAAACTAAAATCAAGAATTATAGCTCATGAAATCCTAAATCTTGGAACCCACAAAACTATTTTCCAATGCACAGAAATAATTAAAAATGGCCAAAATTCATGGGAGCTCTTGAAATCATGAATTTTGAACTCTGTGAAATTATTTGTCAATGGGTAGAAATGATTAAAAATGGCCAAAAATCGTGGGTTATAGCTCATAAAATCGTGAATTTTGTCCTATGTAAAACTATTTGCCAATAGGCTAGAATGAATAAAAATGGCCAATTATTATGGATTATAGATCATAAAATCGTGAATATCAACTTCCACGAAACTAGTTACAAATGTGTCAGAATGACTAAAAAGAACCGCAAATCCTAGGTTATAGCTCATGAATATGTTAATTTTTTCCTCTACGAAATTATTTGATAATAGGTCAAAATGACTAAAATGGCTAAAGATTATAGCTTAAGAAATCATGAATTTTCTTCTCCAAGAAAAAAATTAGCTAGTGGGTTGGAATGAATAAAAATGGTAAAAAAATTAAGGGTTATAACTCATGAAATCGTGAATTTTTGCCTCCGAGAAATTATTTGTCAATAGGTCAGAATGACTTAAAATGGCCAAAAATTGTGCGTTATAGCTCATGAAATTGTGAATTTTGGACTTGTTTGCTAATGAGTAGAAACAACTAAAAAAGGCCAAAAATTATGGGTTATAATTCATGAAATCCTGAATTTTAAATTCTACACAATTATTTGTCAATGGATAGAAACGACTAAAGATAGCCACAAATCATTGGTTATAATTCATGAAACCATAAATTTTGGCCTCCACGAAAACTATATGTCAATAAGCCGAAACGACTAAAAATAGCCAAAAATTATGGGCTATAGCTTGTGAAATTATGAATTTTAGCCTCCGCAAAATTATTTGGCAATGGGTTGGAATGACTAAAAATAGTTTAAAAAAACATGGGTTATAGCTCGTGAAATCTTGAATTTTGGACTTAGCAAAATTATTTATCAATGTCTCCAAATGCTAAAATGGTAAGAAGTTGTGGGTTATAGCTTATTAAATTATGAAGTATGTACTCCGCGATAATATTTGCTAATGACTAGAAACAGCTAAAATTGGCCACAAATTGTGAGTTATAGCTCATGAAATCCTGAATTTTAGACTCCACAAAATTATTTGCCAATAGGTAGAAATGTCTAAATAGCCAAAACTCATGGGTTATAGCTCATGATATTGTAAATTTTAGACTTCGTGAAATTATTAATCAATGGGTAGAAACTATTAAAAATGACCAAAATTTGTGGGTTATAACTCATGAAATTGTGAATTTTGAACTCTGATTAACATATTTCTATCAGGCCAGAACAAACAAAAATGACTAAAAACCGTGGGTTGTACCTCATGATAACCATAATTTTTTATTATTTTTTAGTCATTCCGACTCATTAGCAAATTTCATAAGTTATAACTGATAATTCATAGTTGTTTACACTTAATTCAACCAATTAGTAAATAATTTTATGGACTCCAAAATTCATAATTTTATGAGCTATAACCCACGACTTTTGATCATTTTCAGTCATTCTGATCCATTGGTAAATAATTTTGTGGAGGCCAAAATTCATGATTTCATGAGCTATTTCCCACATTTTTAGCCATTTTCATTCATTCTGACTCATTGATAAATAATTTTGCTGAATTCAAAATTCATAATTTTATGAGCTATGACTCAAGATTTATGTCCACATTCAGTCATTTCGACCAATTCCCAAATAATTTCGTGTAATCCAAAATTTAAGATTTCATAAGCTATAACACATGATTTTTGGCCATGTTTAGTTGTCTCTACCCATTAATAAATATTTTTGCGGAATCCAAAATTCATAATTTCATAAGCAAACCTACAATTTCTGGCTATTTTTAGTCGTTTCGAGACATTAGTAAATAGAGTTCAAAATTCACGATTTTCTTAGCTATAACCCACGATTTATTCATCACTTTTAGTCGTTCCAACCCATTGGCCGATAATTTTGTAGGGGGTCAAAATTCATGATATTCTCCAATGGGGCTTATAGATCATAATATCGTGAACTTTGGCCTCTGCAAAAATATTCTCCAGTGGGTCGGAACGAATAAAAATGGCCAGAAATCATGGTTAATTTTGGACTTCATGAAAATATTTGTCAATGGATAGGAACAATTAAAAAGGCTAAAAATCATGGGTTATATCTCATAAAATCGTGAATTTTGAACTCTGTGAAATAATTTGCCAATGGGTCAGATTGAAAAAAAATATCCACAAGTCATGGGTTATAGCTCATGAAATCGATAATTTCGGCCTCCGTGAAAATATTTGGCAACAGGTGAATGACTAAAAAAGGCTAAAAATTATTGATTACAACTCTTAAAATCGTGAATTTTGTTGTGTAAAATTATTTGTCAATGTGAAGGAACGCCTAAAAATGGCAAATATTCATGGAGTATATAGCTCATGAAATCTTGAATTTTAATCTCCACGAAATTATTTGTTGATAGAGAGAAATAATTAAATATGGCCAAAATTATGAGTTTTAAAATTAAAATCAATATTTTTATTTTTTGTATTATTTTTATTATAACAAATGATCTTGAGGAATCATGAATAGTCTAGTTAAAATTTGAGATGAAGAAAATGACAATTAATGTTATAATTGTCCCAAATGGTTATGTGGATTTATACTACAAAAACTAGGAGTTGAGAAATTGGGGAAATTTATATCATAAAATACCAAAAAGTGATGAATTCTACCAAAATTTAATATTTAAACCTTAGGCACTAATGGAGTTGAGAAGTATTTAATGGGTTTATGAGAACTGGAGAAGGAAATAAAAGAGTGAAGAAGGTGAGAGAGAGAATTAAATGTGAAAAAGAAGGGTAAATTTGAATTTTTAAAAAGTATAGAGGGTACCACATAAGTATGTAGTATATTTGAGACTTTGGGTTTAAAGATAAATACACAAAGATGAATGAACCTAAAGGTACCAAGAAAATTACTAGGGTTTAAACACAATTTAGGGTAAACCTTTGGGTCTAAAGACAAAAACAAATTATAATAATATTTTATTATATTGCACTTAAATATAATATAATATATTAAAAATGCTATTATATTATATTATTACATAGCATTTATAGATTTATAATATGATTAGCATGTGTTAGTTATTTAATAAATAATTTCAAATTTTCTCATTTGCCTTCAAAGTGGGACATCATCATTCCAATATTGCGATGAGACCAGCTTTTAGCATTGGAATAAAAATTTTGTATATGGATGAGACAATTTTATCCCAAGTGGAAAAATTGTCCCACAAATGATTCAACAAACCAATAACAACAAAATGTAACGTCCTAATTCCATTACCCCAACCAGTAGCACCCAAAGTCAAAATCCAAGTCCCATTACCCCTATGAATAACAATAAAAAGTAATATCCAAGAAAATATCCCCATTATTCCCAAATCACGAAAAGAAAGATCAACATAATAATACAAGGATTGTCAGTC